CTTTCCCTGACAAAGAAGCATGAGATTAGGAGGGAAGAGAGAGTGCATGCTGCACATCTTATTGACCACTTGTACAACAGTTTCAGCAGTACTTCATGCTAAGCACTACAGCGCCAATTCCAACTAGTATTTCGCATGGTATTTCACATTGAACTATAAGAAGTATTCATATACTCAAAGATTCAGAAGGCTTTGCCTACCACTACTCTGTTCTATGACAAAAATATGAAAAATATTGGTTCCAACTTTGAATTTGGTTTACAGCTTCATAGGTATCTTTATAAAGTATGGTAATAACATGCAACAATTTTCTTTGCATTTACAGTTAATATATAAGCTTATTAATAGAAAAGCGTGACTGACATTAGGATATGATTACATTTACCGTATTTGTATCAAAAACTGCACTAGAAAACTCTACTTAGGAATAATAAAACTCTCACTTGTTCACAGAGAAAGGCAGCCAAAGCATTTAGTCCACATTAGAGCAAACAGGTACTGTACATAAATCAGCATCCAAAGTCTAAGCCTGTAAGTCCAAGTTAACATACACTTACTGACATGTGATATATTCTAAAATTCACACAGAACAGTAGACTAAAAGCAGCCTTAATTCTGAAATGATTAAGTCTGGCATTTAAAAAAATAGAGAGTGGCTTTAACACATAATGTTATCATTAGAATTAAAGAGAATTTGCCAAGTTGGTTTTGCATCATTATACAGATCCATTTTACTTGCACTTTAACAGCTATAATGAGTCATTTACATTTTTACCTGCATCAGTAAGATGACTGGTCTTACACAAGAGATCTAATTTTCGGTTCCAAACACATAGATCACTCCCTCCAGACAACCATACATTCAGTCTTTGAAGAACTGTCAAACACTGCAGAACAGAAATCAGATATATGTCCCCTGCAAAAGTTCTACAGGGAATTTCTCAGTGAAATGATCATGAGCTTTAGCTAGATAAAGCTGTAAGTACTATAAAATACAGTATTAGGGGTCACTTTTGTGAGAAATACAGATTTAAATATATACTATATGTTAAATTTTTCTAACAAAAATGTAAAAATTGTTTTTTCAATAATTTTTTTTACTATTAACATTCAAGAACTAGTTTGACCGTAGGTTGCCTTTTCCAACACAGTAACAAAACCAAGCCATAAAGTGACCTTTGTTCTACATCCTTTCAAAAAGAAAACTAAGGTATTAAGAATTCCAAAAATAAATTCAGAATTGTGCTCACTTCTCAGCCACTTGTTATGTACCTGTTCTTAAACCAAACATTGATGTTCATTTTAACACACCTGCCCATATGGTCCATAAGCCATACATAATAGATTCTTAAATACAAGAAAACAGCAGACATACCTAGGTTTTCCTTAGCTTACCTTGACAGTAGAATGGAAACATGACACTTTCTGAACCTGTCTGCCACTACTGCAGTCCCAAACCTGACTTTATTCATTAAAGAAACTAAAAGGTTTTTAATATATTATACATATAACTGCTGTGTTTGTAACTAAACGACAAATTGGGAAATAGGTATGGAGAATGTCAGTCTTTTAAATACTGACTGTTTTTTCAATATTTCTCAAAAATGAGATATTAGTAATAGTCTGTTATGGATTCATTCTTGTAACAAGGATTTCATCTACTTGTGAGCAATAACTAGTGAAATCCTAGTGTAATCAGATTATAACTACTGGATATTATCAGCCAATAAATTTAAACAACCTGCACCCTGTCTCAATGCTACATTTAAAAGTAAAAACACAAAAGCCCATAGAAATTTCTATCTTCTCCAGATATAAGGATACAATAACTGTTCTATCAGCTGATGCTGTTAAAATTAAGTGGTTTTTTAATTCAGAAGCATCTGACGAAGGAAATGGTGCTATAGCTGTAATTTTGTGTGTGTGTCCATGAAGTTCAGAAAGTTTTTCTCCGGTCTGAAAAAAAAAACCATGGAAAACTAAGGTAAAATTTGGAAAATGCTTACTATAGCATACAACTATAGTAATAAATGTCACAAATTTTTCATAAGGTTTCTAAAAAAGTTTACAGTCTGAGATTTCTTTCGGCCTTAATTTGAAAGTTTGATACGCATCGCTAAGTCAGCACAGTATGTCTCTATTTTAGACTTCGTATCGAACAACCAAACTTGCATGCCAGTCCTCCTTAACACAAGTCTAATGCGCATCCCTTCTCTACAATTTTGTCGATGATAAAAATACACAGAGCAGAACAGATATTATCACACTTACTGCACTATTTCCATGATACAACTAATGTCTTGGTAAGAGTTTCAAAAGTTATAAGAAGATTTTTATCACAGCATGAAATTAAAGGCCTTATTTCTGTGCTGCATGGAATGTTTAACTTTCACTGACTTTGGTGTCTTTCCAGTACAGCTTTGTGTCACCTCTCCATTTTAATCAGCTATAATACAGATATTGGTAATAGAGTCACTGAAATATACTTAAAAACCTAAGCACATATATAAATCCTGAAAGGATTTGGACCTTGCTACGTATTTGTCGAGTAACTAGTCAACATTTAAGTGTTTACAGCAAATCCAAACACGTTTTAAAGGAAGGCTTAAAACCACAAGTTCATACACACTTCTACTTTTCCTATCATCATTCCTCACAGATCTCTACAAAAATCACTGTCTTTCAAACACATTCTAACTTTTAAAACTTACTGTTCTCTTGTGTTCACACATCTTTTACTTTCCTAGCTCTCCTTTGTAAACTAAGATCTGACAGACTCCCTCTACTTTAATGTTTTCAAGCCACATCCCTCCAGCTCTAGACGTTTCTAACTCCTCTCTAAGAAGTTAGAAGTAACTAGCTTCTACCCTCTCCAGAGCTCACAGCAATCCCAAAAAATAGCTAACCTGAGCGTTCCAGAGAAATATAATGCCATCATCTCCTGCAGATGCAAACCTGAAACAAAGGGGAAAAAAAAAAAAGTTGTGAAAACTTCAAATGTAAAGGAAAAGCCATAACCAGTTATGTAAGAAAAATATTTACAATATTTATACAAATATATATATGGGTTTCCGGCTTTGAAGAATAATCACGTATTTGTAAATCCCAATTAAACTTAAGCCAGTACATCTAAATAGGTATTTATCAACATATACTTAATATAAGAACAAGGCTTAAGAATTCCAATACATATTATCATAAATAGAATCCCACATTACAGAAACAATTCTTTTGTTTAAAAATACGAGATCTTACACACCAAAAAACAGTGAACTCTAAAACGAATTTGGTGGCCTTCTATGATGGGGCTA